TGATGACTGTGACACTATTCTTCTTCAATTTCATTCCTGTCACAGTAAACCATATGATTGTCAGATTCAAAATGGCCAATACCAGTCTATTTCAGTTCACTAATGCCTTCATTTTTGACAACTTGCAGTTTTGCTAGATTCATACTTCATAATTCCATGTTCTGATTAGTAGTGGATGTTGACAGCTGTTTCTCCTCATTTTGAGTTGTGCCCCAGCAGTAAATTGATGAATTCGAAGCATTTGGGTTATGGTGTTGGTGAAGAATATTAAAACTACCATGGATTTCCAGAAGAACAAACCCATCTGTTACAAGTACAGCCAGAATGCTCCTTAGGAGTCAGAATGGCGAGACTTCATCTCTCATGCTTCAGGCATGTTCTCAGGAGGGAGCAGACCTTGGACAAGGGCCTTATGCTTGGTGAAGTGGTGAGTCAGCAAAACAGAGGAGGACCCTCCTACCCTACACCAAAATGAGATGGATTGGCACAGTGGCAACAGCAGTGGGCTCAAGAGTAACAACGATTGTGAGGTTGGCATGGGACCATGCAGTGTTTCATTCTGTTGTGTATAAGGTTGCTATGAGGTGGAACTGACTTGATGGCACCTAACAACAACAACAACTATATAACTGTGCCCTCAACTGATAGATGACATTATATTTGATTATGAAAGGTAATCTGCTGAATTCAAGTCCAGCTCATCTAATCACACAGAACTAACTATGCAATGACTGCAAGAATACTCGTGTATCAGGCTGCACCTGAGAATCATCGATGCCAATTCTGCATCTTAAGACCTGGAGCAAGTTATTCCAAATCCCAGTTTCCACAGCTGTAAAACTGGGATAGAGTGTACTTGATAGGTATTTTCTTCAAGGACTAAATAAATAATATTTACTATTGTGTTCTGAGCACCAACCACAATACTTATTACAAACTAAATGTTCATGAAATTTCTGTTGCATGAATGTATGTAGGTTAATACTTTCTAAGCATTGTGCCTAGCATACAGTAAGCACTCCATACTTAGCTTCTATTGTTGTTGTTGTTGTTGTCAGGTGCCATCGAGTCGGAACCGACTCATAG